CAGCGAATTTATGCACTCGCAATATTAAAAAAAGGCGAGGATGCAACAAAAGAGAGCAGAGTTTTTAAACATTTATGATGTTTTGCTTGTATATAGAGCGGTCACTGTAATACTTATGAGCTCTGACACATCACTGTCCTTCACTTACTATCCGTCTTGATAACTTTCAGTATGTAAAATCTTTGAAGTGATCCCATGAGCGGAGAATTATGACGAATGTCAATCTACAGTTGCGCAAAAGTCGCATGAATTCTGATATGATCCACATATGGACGTGGCCCAAATCAGAATCGAACAGATTAGATTCCATGTGGTTTGTGCTGTTTACATTGTCATGACAAAAACAGATCGGAGTCGCGTATTTGTCAGATTTGGGCCACATTTTCCTGCAGTTTGAGCGTAGCCTTAGATACACCCAATTTGATGCTTGAGGTTTTAATTATGGATTCAAAAACCAAAGCTGGTCCTTGGTCAGTAAAAAAGGGCTACCTTTAAATCAAGTACCTTACTGGCCTGGGATCAGTCACCAAACTTAAGGCAACTTCATAATTACTATTAGGTTCCATTTGTGCAACTGCTTTGGGCTTTATAGTATGCATTTCTTCTTGTCTACTTGTTCAGATAAATTAGTGTATGTTGATGTGTATGCTCAATGTTTTTTGTCGTATTGTTCTGTCAACTGACGTTCTTACTGTCATTCATCTCTGTGGTCTCCTTTTTTATTCATATGAAGAGAACAGTGAAAGACCCCATGCATCTCTGAAGAGGACAGTCTTTAGAAATGTTTCGATGGCATAATAGCTCAGTACAATGCTAACAAAGTAGTGATTTTAAGCACAAGGTTGCTTTGTTTAGAGTGGTAACAAGGGAAACTGTTCCATAAGCATGCCAGGGAGTGAATTTTAATTTTTACCATACCTAATTTTTTTCAGACAAATGTCAAAATCAGATTAAAGGGTGTTTATTGCGCGTTCTAAAAATCTACACAATTTGGATAATGAGGTCAAACACATGAATGAATGGAATTATTTTGTATACTTATTTTTCTGGCTGATAAGACTTTTATTTTGTTTTCTGTTTTTATATCTGTGCACACTGTGCCAAGACAAGACTACATAACAAGAATTTATCTGAACAAATAGGCAATGACTGTAGGCAAGGACAAATGTATAGTACAACGCATAAAGCTGTTAACTCATTTTTGGCACAAATAGAACCTCATAAAAAAATCTTCACCTTGTTGCTTATGTTATTTAAGTGGTTTTTTTCTTCATGTGTTTAACAATGTATTGGTTAGGTTGTTATCTTCATTCTGTACACCTTATGTTTCTGAAGTGCTTGAGCCTGTATCAGAAAATATACAAGGATATTCTTATCAAAATCTGTCAGAAACCTTTTTTATGTGACAAGTTGTAGGATTAGTTTTGTTTTAAAGTAAAATAAATTCATTTAAATAGAACAAAAACTAATGAAAATGAGAAAAGCATATAACAAAAAACAACTAAAATTAAACTAAAACGAACAAGCCAATTCAAAATATGAATAAATTGCCTACATTAACAGGAAAATTAAGAAAATGAAAAATACTATCATAACATTGATTGCACTCTTGAACGTTCCAGAACTTAGTATCAGTATTACAATTTTTAAATTATTTAATAAGACTGTCAAAACCTAAGATATGATATTAACCCAAAATTGGCTTAAAAATGCAAAATTTCAAACAAGATGGCCACAATTTACTGTGCATTGCGATCAGGTCATGTGACGAGGATGTAGCATAGCCTACTATTGTTTAAAACGTTCATTGTGAATTATTCATATTAATTATGAATGCCTGTTTTACTTGCTATTCTTATTTGGGCAGTATGTTTTATTTAATTTCAGTAAGTAGTAAGCTTTTTAAATTCAAAACGAAGCAATGGTCATTCTAAGTGAGCAATGACATCCCTCTACATGCAGAGGGCGCTGCAAGACTTTTCAAAGAAACTAATACTGCCTTATCGAAGATTTTAAATATCAAATTTAGGATTCATATGCTGGGGATTTCTAGCTCAACCAAAATCAATTCTCCATTACAGTTTTATCAGTGTCGGTATATAGTGAACTTGATAAAAGCGCTTGTTAAACCATCCGAAATAGATTCAATGAATGAACGAAAAAGTACACGGACCTGTCATTGCTTGCATATCTGTTTTTTGTTTTTTTTTAAATGGGGCCTCACTATACCCACATATGCAATGGAAAGACTGAGTGGAAAGGGTCCTGCTGATTATTTCTTGAGGTTGTTGAAATAGAACACATGTATTCACATTCTTTCCTACATTTAGATGTGTGCAAATGCATTTTTGTCTCAGTGTATGCATTGTTTTAGTTTGACAGGGTCGGCGCTACCTTAGCACAATGAATGGAATCCTTTGTTGCCAGCTAGCATGTCCTGAGTAAAAGTGATTAAAAAAATAAACAAACCCACGCAATTACTTCTTGTGGCCTGCGTATTCACAAAGAATACAAATAGCGATGCAGATTTCGTAGGCAGATATTGACTTGGGACTATATTAGGGGAAGCACAGGCGAAGCACTGCTGCTAAGGCGAAGCACTGCTACTTGGGTGCAGAAACATAACGCAACACATGAAATCCCAAGACTTTCGTAAACATACCGGCTTGAATAGTAGCTACCTGACTAGTTTCCTTACAGTACATGACTGGCGATGAAAATGGCTGATTTTGTGAGAGACGAAGAGGGTGACTTCTCAGATAGGTTGTTCATGCTAAACAGGTGGAATTCAACATGAGGTTCGTAGTCTAGATAAGTTACAGCTTCTCAGCATCGGCTTTACAACAGAATATAGACACAGATAAACATAAGGAAGATAGTAATAAAAGACAACTTACATGTGCACTTTGTTCTGCCTGTCCTTTGAAAATAGATGGGACGGCCATATCTTTCGGACGTAGTACCGTCTTTCTGCGCCCATATTCCATTTTTTACGAAGTAACGTTAGCCCTCTGGGGCAAAATGCTCTTCGCAAACACAAAACTGTTTTATTTTGTAGAGAGGCGTTGATGTACAGATCTCCAGAGCAGCTAGCCATTTATTTCCCAGTTCGACATTCGATGGAATTCTGTGAAACATTACATTCGTGTATGTTCTTAGTTTATTCTCACAAACTTTTACGCAGATAATAGGCCTATTTCACAAAAATGGCCGTCGAGACCGGAAGTAGGGTAAATTTTTTTCCGGTGACAGCGCTAGCACAGTTGCAGTTTACCCTACTTCGGTCTCGGTCGCCTATGTTTGTTATAACTTCTCAAAATAAATTCTCCTAAAGCGAAGACACTCGGTGCAGGTCATGCCGGTATGTTCTTTCTTCTTCGTTTTTTGACGCGTTGAACGCCGG